TACACACACACACACACACACACACACACACACACACACATATATATATATATAAATAAATAAATTCATATACATACACTATATATATACACACACACACACACATATTATATACATATAGGACGGTTTCGTATGATTGTAGTGCTTGTATGCGTAAAGACGAACACACTAGAGCAGAAGATGAGGAACGTCTTGGAAGGTTGGTTGGCTTTCGAAAAGTACTTGAAACCATCTATCTCTATGCATTTAGATCTCGTATATTTGTACAAATCTAGCAGATCAGGGTAAGTAAATATCAAATAGCGGAGTAGATCTTACATAGCGGAGTAGAACTTGCATACCGGTGTAGATCTTATCCACTTCCACCAGCACACTCTGTTCCCTGTCGACTAAGCTGCCTGTGCGTTTAACACTGATGCCATCCACGTCTCTCCGCGACTGCAAGCCTTCCGGTTGGTTGAGCGAGAGCACTGTCCCTGGCCTGTCAAGGGATTCAAAAGAACAGTCACAGTGTGTTTTAGGGTTTTAGGGTTTAGGGTTTTAGGGTTAGGGATAGATGAACACGTACTACAGTGCATATGTGCGCATAGAGATCTACTGCGGTTGAGTGTAAAGGGTGTACTACGCTGACAGGTGGCGAATAAAAGGGATGGTGGAGCTCACACATGCACATGTAAAGTCACATAGGCACATACACGCATATATAAATATATACAAGCACATACACGTATATATATATATATATAAATATATATATAGAAACACATACAAGTAATAATAAATATATATAAACACATATGCCCCCATATGAATATATACAATCTCATACACGCATATACACAAACAAACATAAATATATAAACACATACTCATATATATATATATATACAGAGAGACACAGACAGAGACAGAAACACAGACACAGACACATGTAAAATATAAATAAATATATATACATATACATAAACATAAACATATATACATATACACATACATCGCCATGCAACCACACTCACACACCTAAAATCGCCCTTCATGCGCATTGGGGCCGCTTGCTGTCCGTGTGGGCTCTGCTGCATAGCTCTGAGCATCTTGATCTCTTGCGCTGTGGCAAAGGTACTCTCTGGTAGTGCCATGTTATTGATGAAGGTCATGTTGTCAAGCGCACCCATGGAGGTGGTGATGCTGCCCTTGCGGTTAACAGCTGTACCTGATGGATATATGTAGATATATGTGTAGAACCAAAAGTGGTGAGTTTTATGTATCTGTATATGTATATATATACATACATACACACACACACACACACACACACACACACACACACGCACACACATATATATAACAACAATATAGAAAACGTATTGTGTACAGCCGAAACCCTCAAACTATGCGCTCTCGTTTGGGACACGGCATGAATCGTAAACAGCGCTCTGTCCAATGCCACACAGCAGACACACATCACCAATCTACCGCAATTCCCGTGACCGATTTAAAAAATAGAAACCCTCCTTCTAAAAATAGACACCATCTACCTACCGTCCTCAGCCATGTGCCCGGTATCCTCGCCGTTGGGCAGCATGCCCGTATAGTCCAGCGCACCCCCAAACACACTGTTTTGGCGACTGAGAGAGGAAGGGCCTGTGACATTGACCAACTCAAGCTCAGAAATGCTCTTGAGCAGAGAATACCACGAGTTCTGCAGATGATCGCCCTCAGTGGTGGCTATGCTAAGCAGTGTGCGGAAGCTCTCACGGTTCTTCCATCTGGTAGGGTTGGTTGTGTAGGTAGAGGGTTTAGGGTTTAGGGGTTGTTTCGCACATGTTTGAGGTTTCCATGTCGGCTAATGTGGTTGGGTTCAGGGCATACATCCACCCGCTAGGGTTGTAGAATGAGAGTACTTGTGAACGTGTATACAATATATAATAGAGCCTATGTACCACAGCACAACAACTTAGCGCACATCTCTAGTGCCTGTATTAGCAAGACTAACCATTCACACCATTCACACACACACACACACACACACACACATATATATATAATATAAGCATGTACAAATAAATATATATATACGCAAACACACACACACACATATATATATATATATACACAATATATATATATAATATAAGCATGTACAAATAAATATATATACATACACACACACATATAGATATGCACATGACATACTTGAGGGGCGGGTGTTGCTGGTGTGGGTTGGTGGTGATGAGATTGGTGAACTGCGTCAGTGACCGTATAAAGGCGTCTCTCTCCAGGGCCATGTAGAACTGCGCGGCAATGCGGATGGCGTGTGCAAAGCCCTCCAAGCACAGGGCAATGATGCGATGGTCTTCCGAAGTCATCATGGGCACACTAGACCGTGGGCAACACGCGGGTGGGGTTAGGGGATAGGGGTGCAGGGTGTAGGGTTTTAGGGTTACTGGCGTGTGCAAAGCCCTCTAAGCACAGCGCAACAATGTTTTAGAATTTAGGGTTTAGAGCCTAGCTAAGGAAAAAAGGAAACAGATGGAAGGAGTTTTGGGTTATAGGGTTCAGCTAAGGAAGAAGGGATGGGAATCGATCGTCTGTCTATGGCTAGACAAATGGAATCTCCAAAATTACAAATGGAATCCCAAAAATCACAAATAGAAATCCCAAAATTACAAATGGAATCTCCAAAATTACAAATGGAATCACAAAAATGTAAAGTGAAATGTCAACAATTACAATCACAGACACATGACAAAGCAGCCACAGGAAGCACAGACCAGTACTACAGGCAATGGTCAAGCCTCACTCTCTCATATACAATCGAAGACAGACAAACTCATACATGCACACACAGACACACATAGACCAAGCAAGCACACAACATACATATATACACATACACACACATATACAAACATATACAAAACTTATACAACACATATACACACATATACCAACACATCCCGACCACACACACACCTGAACGCAGCCAGACACGACGCCCACGCCAGGCTGAACATGGGGCGGATATGCTCTGTCTTAGACGCAATGGTGAAGTCTAGCTTGCCCTTGCTCGCCTCATCAGCCAGCAGTGCCTGTGTGGCCTCAGAGGTCTGTGTCATCTGTGCTGCGTATAACGCTCTTCGCTTCTTCTCGTCGGCTAAGAGAGCGCTGGAGATGTGTGCGTTGCCTTTGGCAGAGCGATCGTCCTTGACCTGATCGAGGGAGGATGGGGGGAGGATGAAGGGGGGTGTGCGTGTGTGGATAGGAGTACACGACTGCATATAGACAAGTGGTGTACTGTTTTTATTATGATTATATATATATATATATACACACACACACACACATATATATATAACATTTGGCTAAAAATGACCTCAATTTCATTGCAGGTAAAACATCTGGCACCTCAACAACAGATCAATCCAAGTGCAAAGGCAGAGCATATACACACTCATAGATCCATGAGAGACGTCTGATGTAACTGGAATCCCCATGTCTCAACCTCATTGTAGACGCCTGACACATCGTCGCACAACATATCCAACAAAGTAGAAACACAGCCGCCTATACACATGTATAGGCCTCTATAAAAGGCTCCTGATATACCTTGATTCCCCGGGCCTCAATCTCATTCCAGATCCTTGGTACGAAGTCACACAACATATCAAACAATCTAGAAACACAGTCATTTATACACATAGGCCTATTAAAGGCTCTTGATATACCTTGATTCCCCGGGCCTCAATCTCATCGTACACCCCGGACACAAACTCGAGAGGCAGATCTTTGTTGTCGTTGATGCCGCGATTGTTGCGAATGAACTCCTCTTTGGTCATCTTGTTTTTAATCTGTAGTGAGTATTTAATTAATTTGTCGTTTTAATCTGTAGTGTATTTAATTAATTTGTCGTTTTAATCTATAGTGTGTATTTAATTAATTTGTAGTTTTAATCTGTAGTGTGTATTTAATTAATTTGTAGTTTTAATCTGTAGTGTGTATTTAATTAATTTGTCGTTTTAATCTGTAGTGTGTATTTAATTAATTTGTCGTTTTAATCTGTAGTGTGTATTTAATTAATTTGTCGTTTTAATCTGTAGTGTATTTAATTAATTTGTCGTTTTAATTGGTGTGTATTTAATTAATTTGTCGTTTTAATCTGTAGTGCGTATTTAATTAATTTGTCGTATATTCCATGACATGCACGAGGGTGGGGTATAGTATTGCGTTGGGCGTCAGCAAGATGTGGTCAAAATGTGTCGGAAATTGACCAGGTGTTTTTAATTGTAGATAGCTTGTCTAAAACGCGAACGGTGGTACATATTGGAAGTGTGACGGAGAGAGCGATGATGGCGAGCAAGTTTTCATTCGAAAACAAAGTATTGTAAAAGAATGTTTATATCACTAAACCTATACACATATTCAACTATACACAAACAAACACACCCATATATATATATATATACGAATACAATAGTTCCCCACTATCTACAGTGTGTAGATATACACAAAGTCAGGTGCAAGGAAAAGCAATCACAGCCGTTCGAAGTGTAAATATGTGATTTACGCAACGCATTAGCGTCTGTGATTAACGAACCTGTGCCGAGTGCCAGTCTGTGGCGGAAATGTGATAGAGAACGCATGAATGCGTACTGAGTATATGTATTATATATACATATACAAATGCATATATATATATATATATATATATATGCATATAGATATAGATATAGATATAGATATAGATGTATATATAAAACACAGTTCGCTAAGCTACACACTTGTCTAATGTATACTGCCGCCAGGTATGGGTACGCATACGCATGCGTGGGTAACGTATAGGCGACTGTGCTACACGTGTAGTGTAGCGTATAAGCGGAGAGTTTAACGCACCTGTCCTGAGTGCAAGTCCGTGGTGAACATGTAATGAGGACACGAAAGCATTTGCTACCCGCCTTGAACGTATAAACGTATAGACACGTGTATAAACGTATAAGCCTATA